GTGATGACAATCCATATGGAGTTTCATTCAGTCGCTTTTAAAATAAATGTTTATGTTTGCATCTAAGACCACATAAACATCTGGGGAAGTGGTGGCGGAGCTTGACCGCTGCAAGAAGATGGTGCGAACCGGAGAAGATCCTTGAAGAGAGAGCATCATCTCGAACGGGCGAAATGGGCACCGCGGTTCGCCCCTCTGTCACGTCGAAGGTGAACGCCCTCGAATGCGCTGCCCGGAAGCGTTGCACAGCAACCGCAATTCTAGCGCCCAGAAATGAGCGTTGGCCGAGTCGCTGCTCACAGCGGCTACAATATACGTTCTGTTCGCCGGCAGCCGTTTTCGCCTTGCGCACGAACGGGTTGTTCTGGCGTGCGACGCATTGTCGTCTGTCTGTACAGTCTCCGATTCGTGGAGTGCTTGGGGCGTTGTGAAAGGCGCCGGTTCATGATCCGTCGCGGAGACGTGGAACTACTTTTGCTTTCGCGTTGGAACGGACAAAGCTGTCTCTATGTCCGTTCGAGGGCGAGAAATAGTTGGCGTATCCGCATAAGCATAGTATAGCACCAGACTGCAGTGTTCGAAGCCTGCTCTGAAAGTTATTCTTTGCTAAAATAAATTTTTTTAGAAAAAAAGGCAAAGTACACCTGTATTGACGTTCTCTTCTGTAGTCCCTGTTGTGTCCCCATTATACTGCATTTCAAATGAATCGTTACCAACTAGCCCAAATGGCCGTTTAGCTTTGTGGTGGTGGTAGTGATTAGAATGAAGAGGAAAAAGGCACCTAATTTCTGTCTGCCTTCAGGCGACACGGCGCAGTGCCTTATAGGGGTGGGGGGAAGGAGGGATAAAAAGAATAGAAGGAAAGTAGAAGCAGAAGAAGACAGCCAACGAGAGGAAAAAAGAAGGAGATAGGAAAGTGGGGATCCGGTCGAAGAAGTCCAAGGGCGGGGTGCCACAATGCGAGAGCTACACGGCGTCAGGAGACCGCGGAGGGCGAACCAGTCGGCGGGAGCTACGCTGAAGTCGGAGATCGCGAGGGCACAACCGTCCAGCTTGAAATCCTGCGAGCGAATCCTTAGCTTTGTGCGAAAGTACAGTGCAGTGCAAGCTCGCGAACAGACCGCAGGAGAGACTGAAATTTGGGAGAAAAGGAAAGCAGCACAATCCAGAAGGTCTTTCAGCGAGAGATGGGGCCGCTGTTCCTGCAGCACAGAAAGTGGCCGCAATGCGTTCGAAAGTGCAACTGTAGGGAAAGAGAGTGTCTGGTTGGCTGTCGTGCGCACGGGATAAAATGAATGGAAACAAATTTGAGCAGTCATTCCACGCCAACTGTCCCAATTGTTGGGGCTGGACCAAAATCACTTTCTCTCGAACTAGTTCGCAAAATTACACGCATATTGTTGGGTGAATGAGGAGGCGCTTGTTGTGTAGCCTTTATAGAAGATATGTTTGCAACAGCGGCTGGTTGCAGCGCTGTCCGATTCTCCTCAGAGTGGAGACAGCACTTCGCCTGGCGCGCATGGCCAGATTGGAAATATGCATGCAGCAGTGTGACCAATCAGTAGTGGCCTGGTACTGCTTCGAAATATTTGGAGCGGCAAGTACTTTTTGGACAAGAGCGGGTCATTTGAATTTCTCCATGTGCTTTTATTATAAGACAGTTTTACCGGATAGCTTTATTTAGCTCCTTACCTAACTCCGACGAATTTCAGAAAACTATAGCGCTTTGTATCTTAAAAAAAAAAAACCGGTCACACACTGAACACTCCGGTTACTTTTATAGAACTCTTCCCAAGACATTCCATTTTCTAAAGCATTAGTTTCGCCCCTGTGAGCTGAATAGGATCCAAAATAAAATCTCGAACTTGGCGCAAATGCTGCTTCGGTGTAAGACATCTGTAGTCCACTCAGGTGGTCTGAGAAAAAAAGGCGCATATGATTTAGAGGCATAATAACTTGCCCAGCAGAAGGTTTACTCGAAAAGGCTTTTGTTTAAATATTGAGCAAAAAAAAAAAAAAAACTGTAGTTGTGATGGCGTCATTGCAGTTTTGTTGGCGCTTGGACTTGACCTCGTATAGCACGCTGGCAGGAATTACAAGGCACGGCGGTGCAGATGGTGGCGTGGAATAGAAGCAGTGTTGACCGGGAGTCTGTGACAATTTAAATCGTTAATGGGGTCGTGAAAAGAGAAGGAAGCTGCCCGGTTTGAGTGTTGCCTGCTTCAATAGGGTTTAGACATGTCGATTTCCAGATATTTTGGCGATATATTCAATCTATTAATAATGACGCTAATTTGAAATCGCTGTTTTTTTGGGACCACGTGGCACCACCCGCTGACACAGGCACTAGCGTGTGACGTCAGTGTGACGTCACGCTAAGGAAAGTTATAAAAATAGCGTTAGCTTTAGTTTGCTAAAAAATACTACATTTGTGGGAACTTGGGAAACAAAAAAAATGACCGCAATTTTGCGCTCTGAGTTGTATATTGTGCAAGTACAGCAAGCGATGTGCTTCGTTTCGTTTTCCACCCAGGGTCGTCGCGTGTGCATTCCTGGTTGCCTTCGCTTTCTCGGTGCAGCGTCCCAAATATTTCTTACTGGTCGCCTTAGGTTGTCTTCTAGGAAGTGTTGTGGGTGTCTTTAGTCCTAACCATATCAACCGTGTGCGTTGTCAAACAGTGCCGCACAACCTATGCAAACGGAAGCAACGTTCGATATGATGCCACGAACCTCAGTCAAGTGCGGCTCGGCAAATATCGTTGCGTCGCCATGTGTTACAGCGAAAGCTCTTATGAGATCGGAACACGGGTCACGCATATTTCGCCGTCAGATTTAAAAAATCTGATTTTGACCTCGATTTTCTCCTCCTTTCTTAAACCCATGATGGTGAAATTAACGACATTAGGGTTCTCAGGTTGCGATGTATGACTCTAAGTTTACTTATGCTTTCGCGTCATAGAGTCCATCTAATGTATGCATATTCAAGGTCAATAGACGTTCCTAGAAAGAGTACGCACGGGGATGCCTGCGGCGCGTGAAGGTCACTGGTCGGCAAGCAAAGCAGCGACTCTCATCCATTTTAAAAAGCGGCCAGCGAAAACCGGTGAGAACGCGTCAAGCAAATAGCTTTCATGCCAAACAGCTTAAGGAGCCCCGAGAAATTGTTTCAAATTGAAAATATATTCCGAGGCAGATACGAACAGTCCTTTCACTTTGAAGAAGCAAGCGTGGTCGTTGTTCGAAAATCTCGAGCAAATTTTTATTCTGCGTACGTGTTTACTAATGCATTATCGAAGTGTTTTAAGATACGACTAGTAATTGCCGTATCGTATGGAATGACTCGGCTGTCATCTTGTATCTGTATCTCAAACAGTTGTTGTCCGAGTGTCTTGTTTCGTATCTTGATAAAGTTGATTGTATATTTTGCTCAGCCCGGCTAATTACACGCTTGTTTATAAGAGTGGCTTGTATTTTTCTCTGTGGCTCCTGACAATTTAACGCTCGCAAAATCTGCAAGGGGGTTCCTCGCTTTTCAGCGCTCCTTCGATCTTTAAACACGCACGCACGCACGCCCGCACGCACGCACGCACACACACACACAAACACACACACACACACACACACACACACACACACACACACACACACACACACACACACACACACACACACACACACACACACACACACACACTCACTCTCTCTCTCTCTCTCTCTCTCTCTCTCTCTCTCTCTCTCTCTCTCTCTCTCTCTTTCCTTCTTAGACAGGAAGTGAACATTTTGTTTTCAAAGTGAGTGATTTGGTGGCGCACGTGATTTCAGAGGACTTCTTTCTGTTTAGTTTTTTTCTTTTTTGGCAATATCCTGTCTGGTATTCATGGGGTATGTCCATAAACGCCCAACCTAACTAAAAAATAAACCGTTGGTTGAAGGTAGCGCTCTGTCCTGTGTCTTCCCGGCGTTTCTAAGTACTCGTTTGTGATCTTACTACTACGAACTAGTACGCATGTCCACCGCGGTGGTTATGCTCGACTTTTTATTCGAAAGTCGCGGGTTCGATCCCAGCTCTGCTGCCATCGAATTTCGTCAAAGGCGCAATGCTCGAGGCCTCTGTACTGGCGTGCAATGTCAATGCACGTTCAAGAGTACCAGATGGTCGACATTTTCGGAGCCTTCAAATACGGAGTCTCTCATTATCATATCGCGGTTTGGGGAACTAAGACCTGACATATTACTGCGAACATAGCCAACTAGCCTGATAACAGATGCTACTGACGACCATGTAATATTACCCACTAATTAGGAATTTTTTTGATCGCGCCTAACGAGTTTCAATGGGGATGTCTTTGGGAGTGTAGGAGCGTTCTTACTGCGAAAGCTGTTATGAGATCACAACGAAAGGGCCGTAGTTGTCCGCCACCGTCGCCAGTGTCCGTAACCGCTATCTCTGGAAATAAGAAAAAAAAAAGAATGAATAAGAATTGTTACCCAGGATAGAATGGGGCTTGAACGTGGGTCCTCTCCGACGAAACGCCGTTGCAAACTTACCCGATGCACGCCCCATGCCGAGTACGTAACCGCGTTAACACGTTAACACGTTAACAGAGCGGTAAAGTAAGAACCAGGTGTCACACAATGTGAATTGCGTAACAAATGGGTCGTTGATTGGTCCGACCCAGTACAAAAAGCCTGCGACGTAATTCTTCATCGCCGTCGTCCACAGCATCAAGTGCACGCAATGCCTTACAAGTGTGTAGATGTGTACCACGCTTCTCTGATGATTGACGAATGATGACATAGCGGACGCTTCATGTAAATAATGGCGTAGTCGGTACCGTGCCAGTGTGCCTTTAGTGGTTTCTACAGTATTGTGTAAATAAGGCTCTGGAAAGGCCGCTATTGTAGCTTTTGCTATCACTATGCATGGCGTTTTTTTTTTTTACATCACCTGGTATATATATAGTTGACCTCTTCCTCTTTTCTTTTTACCTCCCACGCAGGGACCTGGAAGGCAACAACATCAGCGTGATTGGCAAGGATGACTTCCGAGGGATGAACAAGCTTCGGATCTTGTAAGTGACCACTGCACTTGGGGGTCATTCCATGCCTATAGCGGTCGGACATTTTGGCGACCAGCTCAAATGCATTCTAAAAAAAAAAAGTCTTGCGGAGCATTTAAAACAGTGGATTACTGGAACATTTCGTACAGATGCAAAGTTTAGGGTCACGTGAGACCTTTCCGAATTTTCCAGAATATCGTCTTGGTGTTGTACGTAAGGAAGTCTATTTTCATGGTGTTGTTTCTTGTTTCACTACCAAATTTAGTTGGCATATTAAGCAAAGGTATCAGGCACACAATTTTTCTGCCATATGTACGCCTGCAGAAATTTCGCCCAAATGTTGTATGCACGCATTTTTTTTTTTGCATTCCTATATTGCGCTTTGTATGAATATCGGAGTAATGAATATTCACTTTACGGAAGGTTTGTTTCGATTTAATATTTTTAACATGTCCCTCAAGTCTCAATATTCTGAGAAAAAAAGATCACGATTTTCAACTTAGTGCTCATTCAGATTCAATTTACTCCACATAGTGCGTGAAGTGAAAATCAGCTTTACATCTCTATAGAAAGCAAATAAACAGTTCTTTTATGGTAAACTTGATCCTTATGGTAAGTTTTATATTTACAATTTCTGCTTTAAAGGAGAAAATGTTTTAATTATTTGAAGTTACTGATGCTTTGAAGTTTTTGCGAGGTATATCTTCGTATTGTTGCAATCTAAAAACTTAGTTACTACGTTAGGATGAAGAAAGTGTGGTTCTTGAATACATGCTTTGCCGGTGATGACTTGATATGAGGAACAGGCTGCACGGTTTGATTTCAGCAAATCCTCTATTGGACTTACTATATATATTTCGTGCGCACTTTAGTTGAAGTACTTTATCATACCTTAGTAATGTTATAATATACAAAAGTTTCATCAACAAAGCCATCGGTATGTGCAGTATTGTGACATAACTTATATGCGGCGATCGATAACTTCAGCTGCCAGAGCCGGTTAAGGAAGATAATTTTTAAACTGCACTAAAGTGGCGTTGCATTTGGTGAGAAATGGGCGAAAGGGAATGATTTTGCAAGCGTTGAAGTTGGCGGAGGTGTTAACTCAGGCTGGTATGCAAAAATATTATCACATTTGGGTGCACGTTAACGAACCCCAGGGGGTTGAAATTTCCGGAGCCCTCCACTACGGCGTCTATCATAATCATATGGTGGTTTCGGGACGTTAAACCCCAGTTATCAATCAATCAACCAATGAATGAATAAATGAATGAATGAATGAATGAATAAATGAATGAATGAATGAATGAATGAATGAATGAATGAATCGGTCAATCAGTCAATCAACATTGTTATCACTTGGTTTTGTCGGTAAAGGCAGAAAACGCAAATTGTAAATCTTTATTGTGCGATAGTTGGCCCAGTGAATGAAAAACTCAAGCTGTGCGCTGATAGCTCCGAATAATCGGCTCGTCGTTTGTGGGCTTTTCTGCAGCCCGTCGGACCTTGCACCGTAATCGCTGGAGATCGCGTTAGCTCTTGAATAAACTATGTTACTCGTGTCCTGGGCGTAACCTTAGCAGGATAGTCTGAAACGATAGCGAAGGTTCCAAACACACGAGTGGTGATAGCGGATTTTTTTTTGTGTGTGTGTGTGTGTGTGCGTGTGTGTGTGTGTAACGTTGAAATAAGTGAAGCTGGTGTACATGTCAGAATAATTGGTTGTGAATGTGAGCGTGATACCGGGAAGAGGTAATGATCGAGTGAAAAGAGGAGCGGGTTTTGATTAGGCCGCGTATTTAAAAAAAAAAAAAAACATCTTACCGATTCCGCATGAAGATTAAATTTCAGGTGCCTGTTTAAAGCAATGATGATGATGTATTGGGTTGAGCGTCTCAAACAAAAATATGATTATGAGAGACGCCTTAGTGGAGGACTCCGGTAATTGCGACCACGTGGAGCTCTTCAACTTGCACCCAAATCTGAGCACACGGGCCTGTCTAAAGCCAGGCCACAAAACTATGGGCTACAAGATAGGCGTATTATCTGTGAGCAAAACCCATGAATTTAGTAAATTTCAAAATTATGGTGTCGGGAAGGAAAGGAAAGCCATATAGGCTTTGTCCAGTTGATTGATGCTCAACATGTTCCTTTAGGCAACAGAAAGTGCTATTATGCAGATTGGCTATATATTGTTTCGCTGTAGTTCATCGATGTTACCATATGTGCAAGTAAATATAGTCTGGTTGTCTACATTATGATACAATATGCAGTCGTCGGCTGGCAATTAGGAATTAGCAGAAGGAGCAATGGGCCAGTGACCGAGCCTTGAGGAATAACATGTGTGTAGGAGACTTCGCCGTCAGTTCGAACAACAAGTTGATCAGAACTTCGGGTCGTGGATTGAACTCGCGACCAGAAAGTCCCGGGTGCGAACGCGGCGTTGGTGGTCGCATTTCGATACAGGTGAAATGCTTGATGCCAGTGTACTGGACGGTGTGAGTGCACGTTAAACAGCACCGCATGGCCGAAATTTACCGAGCCCTTCACTACGAGGTCTCATATACTCTTGTCATGGTTTCGAGGAATGAAATCCTGGATATTATTATTACAACCTGAACAACTATTGGTGCGATAGCTACAGGTATACGCGTACTCTCACAGAGTAAACGGTGAAAACACGAGGCGTTTGTATGACAATGATGGTTTACCAATGAGCTACATTGTAATGCAGCACGACAGCAATACTCTGAATTGTGATCGCACACGGTTTCGCGATGTCTCAGGCAGCCAAATAAAAGTGCAGGCGTCTGCACGAGGTGAGTGATGACGAGGGGCGAAGCTAAGAGGCCTCTAATGTGTACGTTCAAGTCGCTGACTAGAGTATGGAGTGTGTGTGCTTGTGGGTGTTTTACACTGTTCTCTCACAATTACGATCAATATTGGTCAATTGTTAACCGTGACGGATGCGGACGACGACAAGGCTGGGCCCTAAGCAGCTTTGCCCCTAAAACAGAGCCTCTGCGTGACCATGGTGGTCGTATTTTGATGAAAGCGAAATGCTTGAGACTCGTGTACTGAACTTAGTGCTCGTTGAAGAACATCGAATGGTCAAAACTACTCCACCTCCACTACAGCGTCCCTTTAATTATGTCGTGGTTCAATATTATTGCAATATGATAAATACGAAGGATTTTTTTGCGCACTGTAGCCACTTTGAGCGCCTATCTATGTATCTCTATCTATCTGTCGAGCTTTTTTATCCGCCTACGTCTGGTGCTTTCGTGATCAGTTCGTAACTTGGGGTCAACCAAAATTAGTATGGGTGTGTAAGATGGTTTCACGAATATGACTCGTCGGTCATGACATTCATAATTTTACAATTCCGTCACGCACATCGTCGAACCCTTTCCGCCAGACGTGTGGCACATACCAGCTTGCGAGTGTGTGCCACAGGTGATTGACAGTTTATATCTACCCAGGATCTGTGACAATAGACATGGGTACTTTTAACGCGTGAACGATAATACAAAGTTGATATCGGCAGTGTTGACCCGACTGATGCAAATATGAATGTCAGGGTCGCAGCAGGAATCGAACCCCAGCATTCTGCGTGATAATCAAGTACTTTACCACAGAACCACGCCAGGTCTCGGAACCACTTTTGGAATATACCGTAAAGTTCGTGAAACGTGAATTGTGGTCGCAGTGCTGGACTATCTATTTTCAAAAGTACTGCATATGTGCTGTACCGTCCACTGTTAAAAGGAACGCTACAATTACAACCGTTGATATTACTGGCCCTCTAATAGTAAGTGGTCGAGGAAACAATTTTCTTACACCGAACCAGTTTTTTAAAGGAAGTTAAAATGGTCAATCAGTGGTAGTCTTTTGCAAATATAAATCCCCGCGCTTTTACAAGACATTGAAGCCCAAACATACCGTGCACGAAAGTGTGCTCTTCAACTGCGGACGCTTGTGTTCTGTGATACAGGAATCACGTCGGGTTCACGTCAGTTGTAGTTAGGTGACATCCGCTGAAGTTGATTTATCTTGCAGTGTCCAGGATTACCATCCTCGCGAGCACCAGCGCTTCATATCAGCTTCTCGTCTAGCTGATATCTATGTTGCTTTTGGCATCGTTACGCAAGTAGAAACGACATGTTATATAATAAAACATATCCGGCTCTTTAGCGAATGTCTATGCGTGCATTTCTTCATATCTTTAGCTCCCCTTCGTGATGTTTCATTCAATAAAAACATTACACCACAGTCACCTCCCATTCACATGCTTCGCATAACATCGATTCCCAAGTAGTACGTAGTATCTGCTGTTTTTTTTTAATGTCAAGACAAGAAAATATTCTTGCCTAAAAGCCCAACCGCATCCACACAATTTTTCTAGCGACAGTGGCAAATGGCAGTGATAGGGTTGGCTGTTGCGGAGGCCCATCCGTAAGGCTTCAGGCGGTGGAGTTTGTGTTGACATGTTGAGCCGCCATGGTGGTCTTGTTGCAATATGGTTAGTAGGACGGCGATTGCTACCGCGCTTGAATGCGCGTACGGGCATCCAATAAAAACACAGAAAACGATGCTACTCTTGCTTGTAAAGTGCCTCATAGGAGAAGGGTACACCCAAACATCACCTATACTCGTTTCTGTCGAGGCCATATGAGAAAGAGCAGTGGCAACGCTGGATCTGTAAAACACAACAAACCTTTTACTTAGCAAGCGCGTTACAGCTTACGTGTACATTTTTTGTGCATTTAATTTCAATGTGCACGTACGCAGTTCTAGACATACTAGCAAGAAAGAAATACCGACAAAATGGCGTAGGCGAAGCGTTTCACCACTTTTCGCGCACACAGTATCTTATGCCTACCCGAAAACGTTCCTCAACGAGCTCTTTTACTGACGTGTCAGGTTTTAGATGACGGCCCACCCCAAGCTTGTATTTGGTCTCTTGACGACGGCGAGTCGGTATCGTTTACCTAAAAGTACGACTGCTGTAACATGTTTGCAATTTCCACTCACGTCGACCTTGCAAGTGCAGGTTAACGCGGACACTTCGCTGTCAGATACGAAAAAAGTGAAACACTCATTGATTAGGTGGATACTCTTCACAACACCGCAAATAAAATCGCGAAAGAAAACGGCTTTTCACCTTAGCGTTAACACGCTACGAGAGCTGTAATTAGCGGTTTTTGTAAGAGCTATCTGCTTCTGGTACCCATACACTGTTGGTAAGACCGCGCCGGAAAGCGCGATACGAGAGAGGTTCTCATCTGCGAGTTGACGAGCTGCGAAAACCGATTATGAACGAGGCTTCTGCTCGTGGCACTGTTCAAAACATCGAAAACAAAAAGGCGAAACGAAGTGGCATTTCACCTGCGTGTTATCCCTCCACGAAAGTTGTAACTGCCGAATACGTAAATAACGTTGTGATCGCTCAAATGAGCTGCTACTTAGTCGAAGGCATCCTAAGTTATGTTGCGATAATAATTATCATTGAAAGCGACAAAATAACGTGCAGGCAGCACAGACTGAGGCGAGCTTTTTCATGCGCAATTTCAACACACACTTACCAGTACTTTCACGTTGTACGATGCTTCTTGGACTTGCGAGTGCCATTTGGCTGCATACAATCTCAGAATGCGAGTTGCTGCCGCACAGTTTTTTTTCACACCGTAAACATAATTTTCCGCTCAGAGCGTGTGTCGTTTCGCCAGCGCATTGTCGCGAAAGTATACCCCTCCACAAAGAACGACACTGCTGAGGCCTTACGGCGAGATAACCGGTGGCATCACTTCTCGTTCGCTACACCAGTCTGTCCTCCAGTCGCAGTTCCTGATCTGTTGCTTTGCCCCGCCGTGGTGGTCTAGCGGCTAAGGTACTCGGCCGCTCACCCGCATGTCGCGGAATTGAATCGCCGCTGCGGCGGCTGCATTTTCGTTGGAGGCGAAAATGCTGTAGGCCCGTGTGCTCCGATTTGGGTGCACGTTAAAGAACCCCAGGTGGTCGAAATTTCTGGAGTCCTCTACTACGGTGTTACTCATAATCATATGGTTGATTTGGGACGTTAAACCCCACAAATCAATGATCAAACCTCACAAATCAATCAATCTGTTTTGGAGCATGCACGCGATAGGGTTCAATCTAGCATCAACGACACTTTTTCGCCGACATGGGTCGCAATAGTGGCGACGCGACGGCTTGATGGAGAAAGTTTGTCGCTCGAAAATCGCGCGCAAGCGGTTGGGCTTTGCGATATGCAGCCGCAACCATCAAACCCGTGAGCTAGTCGAAACGGCAAGATCACCTGTGCTAGAGATTCGGTGGACGCTACTATCTGTCCTTGCCATGACTACGCAATGGTGTGTCCAGATTTGTTTCCAGACTTTTGGTTCTTTTTTTTCTTTTTTTTAGGTCAAGAGCTCGCGTAAACAGCCGTTTCCTTTCTGGTGTGAGACGATATCTTTTACATATCAGGGCTTCTAATGGTTTTGTAGAAATCAAGGGCCGTGTTGTCAAGGAAGGCTTGCGTGCGTTATCGGTTTCTTTTTCTCAGGAGCAGAAGCGTGCAATAATATCTTAATAAAAGGGATGCTTGGGCTGCCTACTTGCTGATTTGTAATAAACATATTTGCGCAGCGCAAAAAAAGAAGAGTAGTTACAACGTAACTACGGTAGGAAGAAACGTGGACAGGAAAGAGCGCTTTTTCCGGTCCACGTTTCTTTCAACCGTAGTTACGTTGTAACCTAGGAGGATATATATAAAAAAATTGCTGGAGTGGAAGCCGCCTATACTTACCCATAGAGCACAGTGAAGCCGGCGGCGGCCATCTTGTGGTGGGCAGGAAGGCGGCCGCGTAGCATATAGTGCACTTCCGCGGCCGTTTTTTTTTCGCAAATGATTGCTGCTAGAGAAGTAAAAACGTGCTCACATAGTCGCCGATACACTGGCAGTATTTAAAGAGACTACAGAACGGTTCGTTTTTCATGTGTTAAAATTTTATTTGTACAGCTTTCTCAGCCTTTAGCCAACATGAACGTTATGGCAAAGTTGTTTCACTGATTCCTAAAAATGACGAGTCTTGAAAGCAAAGACCTAACTTTGTCTTTCACGAGTTCCCGGCTTCGTTCCTTTGTCATGTGGTGCAGCCTGATCTTGATGTACAGCTCCAATACTTGCTTGCTCAAGTTGTAAATATGGTTGTCCAACACGTCGACGTCAAAAAGATGTTGTTCCAATTGTGAAAACCACCTCTTTTCCAGTGATTGACTCAAAATCTCCAGGACTAGTTGTTTGGTATTGGCATGTATGTTCTTAAGGCATTGAGTGGAAGCCTGCAGTCGACGCAGCCCCTTTTCCGCTGTTTCGCACAGTGACACAACGTCTTCGGAAGGGTAAAAGAGTCCACCTCGATTTTTTTGTCTCACCAATAGAGATGTATCCGCTCCATGAAGAGCTTCTATGCACAACTCACAGGTGTTTGTAGTAGCGATTTTGCGAGCGACAAAGCCTGCAATGTAAGGCACGACAGAGCAAACGAATGTGGAGAGGCTCTCTGGATAGTCAATTCGGTCTGTGTAATCGTGGTCCTCTGGTTGTAGGATGGCACACCTTCGCGATGTGACCTCAGTGGTTGCACAAAATGTAGTGGCAGAGGCAGATGCACCCAGAATAGAAACAATATCTTGCGAACAGTTGCCTGAGGTGGACGATCTCACTTCTGTCTGGACCAATAGACGCTTGTAAGCTGCCATGAATTGGGCAGCTGTAGGGTTGTTGTTGAACCCCCCACGTCCTCGCACACAGCCAAAGAAAGTTTCTGCGTGATCTTGACTCATCTTGTGCGTGAGCAGATAGTTAAGTTGACCTTCATGAACGAGTTCCTTGAAGATACTTTCTGTGCTCTGTATACACACAAGAAAACCCACAAATCCTGTCCTCTTTGTTCCCTGCAAAAGTGGTCGACCGAATGGGTCTTTTAAAGCACATATGTACTCTCGAGCGTCGGCAAAAAATGGTTTCCAACAAGGCTCATTTTGCTTTCGAAGGGGGGCTTTGTATGATTTTGCAAACGCATTTCTGGAGTTTAGCAAATCGAAGAGATGATCAAATACCCTCACAAATTTTGCCGTGGCACTAGCACCTCTAAACTGTGGCAGCTTCAGCGTTTGCTCGCAAAATTCAAGCGCGTCTGCGACTGAAGCGCTGAGTGCCTGAACTGCGAGCCGTACCTTCATCTTTTGCTTCTCCCACTGCATATGCACCTTAGTTAGCTTATTGCCAAGGCGGAGCCCTTCCTCGCGCTGTAAAGCCTCCAGTGCCTTTATGTAAGCCCATTTTATGTGGTTTCCATCAACATCAGTGATGTAACACATTGTTGCCAGTGAATTTCTAATCAACTTAATCATGTGGCATGGGTCAAGCAGGATATGCACATCCCTTGACTCATCAACTGGGTTTTTAAAGGATGTGGAGAACTCGACAGGATCAGGCTTCAGTTCTGCACCAAGGCATTTTGCCATAGTGAAATTTGATGACGCACCATCAAATGTTAGACTGACAACTTGAACTTTCACAGATTCCAGTCGTTCAATGCATTGTTTTGTTAGTTCAGCCCTCTCAGAACCAGTGAGCGAGTGGATAAGAAAGTAGCCGACTGGAATTTTCAGCCTCATGTTTATGCCAACAACAATATAAACACAAACATTTGTGGCTTCAGGAAGGCTGTCATCATCAAGAGATGCTCCAAAATCAACGTAGCCAACTACCCTGTCTCCGACAAGTTCAACATGTTTCCTAATCGACATATCATCGACAATCAGAGCGCAGTAAAGAGTTTCAGAGCGACCTTGAACCAACTTCTCCAAGAAAGAAAATGCTTCACCTGTAAAGCCTGGTTGGCCATCAACAGACCTATACCATTCTCTGATTGTGCGCTGCGAAGGGAGGGCGTCATTAAACTTTGATCGCACAAATTCGTAGGCTGCTGGTGAGTAGAAATGTAAAGTTAGTGCAAACGTTCGCAGCTCTGGAGGGTATTTACCTCCACTTTCTGTCCGTGCCCGGTGAAGCAGCTGTTGTATGTCAGGAGAAAATGCTGCATCGAACATCTTGGAGCCCTCTTCTGACAAAAGCTTTTGTTCTTCGATGCCTCTAATAATTTCTTCAGCGGTGATTTTCTTTTGTGTCAGCCTTCGTTTGCTCTGCTGCAACGTTTTAATTTTTTTCTTCAAGTGCAATCTTTCGTCTTCTGTTTCCTGCAACTTCGTCTTGTACCACTGCTTGATGGTGATACAGTGACATGATCTTCAGTATTTAAGGCCTCTTGCTGCTGAGCAGGACTGCATCCTCGAGGTTTTGGTGCTGGCCGCTTCCTTTTCACCTGAAATAAGCACATAGTGGAAATTAACTACTTTTAGAATGATATATATACTTCAATTATTGCTCATAACATGAATATATGTATTCACGAAAGCATGTTCGGGAACATTCGACAATAATCATGCGCTAATCGTGTGTTGAGCGATATTGTAAACGAGCGAACGGGACGAAAAGCTCGCGAGGAAACACGCAGCAATGCAGTCACGTCGACAAAACACGACAGAAGAGATATGTCTACGTCATTCCAACCTCCTTGATGTCAGAGCACTATATCTGCGAAGTTCCGATGCTTACCGGTGCCTGGAGGTGGGCAGGAAAAGCAGCGAACGAAGTCGGCACACTTCCCGCTTTCAACCTTGTTGTTTGTCCGGTCCGGTCAAAACACGCCGGATCAAAGTGCGCAGAGCAAAGGCGATCTTTATCTGTCGGTTTCCAGTGTTCACGACGCACAGCTCGCTCCCATAGGTTCCGTGTCTCAGCATCTTTTGGAAACCTGCCAATAATTTCCAAATATTAATTCCTTAAGCCTACCAATGAAAAACACGAGTCAGCCGTATTAGACCGCGTAAGCACTACGTGCTTTCAGTACGCACCTGTGAAATGTGATCTTGGAAGCAGGAATCGCGCGATTTGTGCACCCATACGCTACGCAGGATTGTACCATGCTCGCTTGAATCGAGCCGCACGCATTCGAATGCACTGCAGAGACACACTTGTCAAGGAAAGACAGGCGCACGAACCGCAATCCACCGTCGCTGCAGGTGAACTGGCAGCGCTGGCCGCCACCGAGCCAGCCGAGCCGAGCTTTCTGCCCACCACAACATGGCGGCGCTGGCTTCACTTGAAGAGCGCTCCCTCCACTCCAGCAATTTTTTTATATTATATCCTCCTAGGTTGTAACAACTCGTTTTCTTGTGCTGCACTAATATGTTGATTGCAATAATGTCTGTTTCTTTCATGGCTGTACAGCACTGATAGGCTGAACAACCACGAGGCACCTCTGGTGGCAGGCACACCTTTTGTTTCTGCGTCGGTATAGCACTGTTTCATGTTCCGATACCGTGCGCTTCCAGAGCCATCTTTCGAGGCCTTGTCTTCAACGGCGAGGTCAGCCTTTTGCTTCTCGATGGGGTTCTTTTTCGTGTACCAATGGCACCTGGCGTGTCGTTTACCTTCACCAGTTAGACGTTTGCGTAGTAACAGTAGCTTCCAAAACAAAACCGTTTTTTATAAAATATTCCTGAAATACGATTAAGCAGGCGCACGTAAATACGAAACTTCATGCATTTGCAATAGCAGCAGGCTAACAACACGAAAGCAGCATAAAACCGAGGGGGCGCTGGCTTTCATAAAAAAGTATTCCAGCAAGGAGAACATACACGGAAGCAATGGGTATCTCAAAAGAAAAAAAAAAACAACACTTCCGCCTAAAAGGTTGGCACAACCGGAAAGAGACCGTTGCAATATTTGTATTGCACCTGTGTGCCATATTTCGCTCGTGTTTTGTTTTATTATTGTTTTGCGGGACTTCTTTTGGACATTTGCTTCATAAGAATGAACTTTCACGCCCTTACTTGGTCGTGGACAGAAGGCATAAGGAGATAGCTTATGCGTTCGCGCTGACTGAATCACAATTTGGCACTGCGAGAGTGGGCTAGATTTATGGTTTGGTAGGGAACGCGCTTTGGTAGAGAGATACTCTTGAGAATTCCTTAGTGAAGTCATTCTCTATTAGAGCAACATTTTTGAGGAAAGAAAAATTGAAGGCAGCTTCGCCAAGGCTGAAGGAAGTGCGGAGACGTTCTGTGTTTCTCTCCTTTTTTTCCCTCCTCTCTCTTTTCTTCTTTTTACGGGTTCATTGTTTCATATTTACTTTTTTTCTTTCTGCCTATTTCTTTCTCTTGCGCCTTCAATTCATCTTCTGCCAATCCATTCCCCTCCTTTTTTATCGCTGTCTTTCGCACTTCTTGCTCTCTGTTTTATTTTATACATGGTTTTGCGTTGCGCCAATCACAATAGCTTTTTTTTCTTGCTGATGATGATGCTAAGTGACAATCATGAAGGCGCTCGGAGAACAGCAGGAAGAAAAGAGTTCTCTTCGGCGCGAGCGCGCGCTCATTATGCCACACATGGAGCGTTACGACAAGCGACGGTGACAGCATACGACAGACCGGTCCCGCAAAACTGACCCGCACTTACAAGAAAGAAATGTTGCCATATGATCATTATATAGCTTCCACTGACACCGCGCCAAGTGACTTGCCGACGGGCGCCGTCATCCGTCCACAGTTGCGATCCCAGCGAGGTGCTAAGCGGGAAGGGTTGCGCAGGGAACACCGGGCACGCTTTTAGCAGTCCCGCCGAGAGCCTAAAAAGAAGTAGCGCCGGCTGCAACACGTTTGGCACCTGCTGGCACCACGCGGGGTCGTACTGTGACGCGCTTGAAAATAGTAGTTGCGGCCGCACTTCCGAGAAGCCGTCATCAGTTACCTTCAGCGTGCGGCACTGCATCCATGAGCCTTGCGGGCCGTCGAGCTGACGTGCGCATCACTGTTAAGCGTATCTTTTCCTCTTGCAGCTGTTCAGCTGACGCCCATCATCAATGTGTACTAAAGCCGTGTTAGTAAAGTAGGAGGAGGAGGAATAAATTTTATTATAGGAAACCAGCAGGTTTAGGTGGCCGGGCCTATAGGCCTCCCATGAGGGGATGTCAAGGGCTTGCATCGATGCCGCCTCACGGGCGTGCTGGGTCGCCCAGGTTTGGTCGTCAAGAGCGGTGCTCCGCAGAACCTCATGGAGCTTCGACGAAACGGTCGTGGCGTTAGTGTGTCTGTACTGTGCCGGGCAATCCCACAGCATGTGCGGAAGCGTAGCCGGGTGGGTGCCGCAGCACCGGCAGTGGGAGGCTGTGTACACGTCCGGGAATATCCACCACCTCACCCCAAGCTCAACCGGGCACAGGCCACCACTTTGCGTCTACTTTAAACAAACACGTATCCTTCACCTGCCCGCTTTAGTAAAGTACGTAGTTTCAATATTAAAACGGCTACTTGTAGCGCGGGAGCTTTATAGTGAAAATCCGGTGATACGAATCTCGTGGGGTCAGCAAAAAATATTTCTATCATCAGAAAACATGGAAAATGGGCATACGCAAAACAAATCTGGTACACGCCCTCGTTTATTGTTTCTGAGGGCCGCAGCAATGGTCGTGAACTGCTCTGAACCAGTTTCAATAAACTTCTTAGATGTCAACGATCGTACGCGTAATTCCAAATATAAGGTGGGAGCGTAATTAGTGAACCGGATGTGTTGTGACCCGTGACAGCTATAAAGGAATTCTAGCGGCCCCGCTGCAGTGGTCAAGCAGCTAATATACTCGGCTGCTGACCTGCAGGTGCCGGAATTTAATCCCGGCTGTGGCGGCTGCATTTTCGATGGTTCCTAAAATGCTGTAGGTCCGTGTGCTCACATTTGGGTGCAGGGTAAAGGAGCCCCAGGTGCTCGAAATTTCCGGAGCCCTTCATTATACGGCGTCTCTCGCAATCTTATGGTGGTTTCGGGATGTTAAACCCCACATATCAATCAATCAGGAATTCAAGCGGACGTTCATGACGAAAATGTGGTGGCGCTGTCGTTGGGTGTTTAGTTTCGCGTCGTTCGTTGCACCTACCGCAATTGCTGCCATGTTTTCGCTTGTGCGTGCGCTGTTCCTCGCCGTGCAAAGAAGACAAAAAAAAAAAAAGGTAGATCTCACGTACAGTGGGAATCGATGATATGCGAAGCACGAATGAGGAAGGTTGATATGTCACGTTAAAATCGCAACGTTACGAGGTCAACGTAAATTATGCCGTACATTACTTCCATCTCATGATTATCACGTTTGCGCCTGGCATTTGTGTTCGTAGTCCATTCACGTCACGTAATACCAAATTTGGTACATGTAAAGCTATCGAAATGGCCGCGAGCGCACTATGAGCGTAGGATGTACACATGATTTACATGATGTTACACATGTCATGATTATCATCTTTGGACGTGTCATTTACTTTCGTCGTCCGTTCGCGTCACGTATTACCAAATTTGCTAATACGTGACGGTATCACCCAGCACCTCCACCGAATGTCACGGGGGTGAGAGAATGAATGAAATAAATATATTTACAAAATATGCAGGGAGAGTCAGAGGCAGCTGCAGTCAAGATGGAAGAACAGCAGCAACAACAACACGAGCACGGTCGCTTTCATCGTCTTCGTCGTCTACCTGATGCTCTCTCGTTGCCGATGTCGTGTAACATATATGAAGCTAGCGAAACGGCCGCGAGCGCATCATGAGCGTGGCATGTAGTCATGTTTTGACATGACACGCATGTCATGATTTCCACGTGAGGGCCTATCAGTTATGTTCACGCTGCAGTCATGTCATACCATACGAGTTTTGTGATATGTCATGTAAACGGAACCGCTGCAGGAGCAGCAAGACCATGACATGTAAATTATGACATTCATGATGTGACATACATATGATGATTATGACATACATTATTATTATTATTATTATTATTATTATTATTATTATTATTATTATTATTATTATTATTATATTAATATACATTATGACATACATATGATGATTTTCATGTTATAACTAGTCACTCATGCTCGTCATACAGTTATGTTATGCCATACCAATTTTGTTATATATCCCATTATCCAAACAGCCAGAAGAGCTAAAAGTCGTAAGCGGATACATACATACATACATACATGCATGCATGCATGCATACATTCATACATACATACATACATACATACATACATACATACATACATACATACATACATACATACATACATACATACATACATACATACATACATACATACATACATACATACATACATACATACATACATACGTACGTACGTACGTACGTACGTACGTACGGTCGAACTCGCCGAAGTTCACTAACCCCCTTATTCAGAAACGCTCCTTGAATTGAACTTGACATCGCCGATGACTCGCTCGCTGGATTCCGAGCCGACCGGTTGTGCCCTCGCGATCTCCGACGTCAGCGTAGCTCTGGCCAACTGGGCTCGCCCTACGTCATCTCCTGACGCCGACCTCCGACGACAGTGTAGCTCTAACCGACTGGACTTGCTCTGCGCCATCTCCACAAGAGCTCTCGCAAGTGGCGCCTCGTCCTCGGACTCCTGTGACCGTGTTTCCATCTTTCCTATCTCTCCTATCCCCTCGATATGTCGTCGCTCTCTGTCATACCTCATCTCTTTCTCTCTCTCTCTCTACAACTTTATTCCTATCCTTTTAATCCCTCCCCAACCCCATCCCTTGTGAGCTACTGTTCAGGTGTCGCTCGCTGAAGCAGAGAGTTACGGGGCTCACTTTTTTCTTCCTTTCTCTCTTAGAACCACTTTGTGTGTGACACCGCCTTCAATGCAGCGTGTTTGAAAGGCGTCTGCGCGTTTGTGCTGCCTTGGCGCCGCCTTCAAAGCAGCACAAACGCGTTTGTGCTGCTTAGAAGTCGGTGGCATGTCAAGTAGCGTTTCTGAATACGGGGGTAAGAAATGCTTCGGAGTTAATAAGCGGTGTACCGACGAGGTACCGCGGTTATTTCCACGGGAAGACACAAGAAAGATGGAATAAGTTTTTGTTTCGAGGTACAGGGAACGCGTTTACTTCAAAGCACGTGAACGTTGCGGACAGCATTGTCATGTATGCGGAAAATTCTTCACGGTGGCAGTTGCTGATGTAAGTGCAGAAATATTGGACACATTCCCGCCGTTAAGATACATCACGTTTTAATGAGGTTCCCAGAGCATTAACATGACTAGTATTTTAATTTAACAGCATCTCTTG